ACTGGCAGGTGTTGAGGGGTCACAACAGTGCCCAGGCCGTCTTTGTCTTAAAAGCATCATGAGATCTGTACACTATTTGTTCCTCCACTGAGTGAGCCCTTGACTGTAGCCCAAGCTGTGGCAGTGGAGCTACCCCAGTCTGAGCGGAGGCTGGCCCTCTGCCCCTGCCCATCTCTCCCCCGTACTCTGCGGCTCATGGACAGGATTGGGTCTGTAAGAGTTTGACTCCCGGACATCCCCCAATGGTTCTGTGTTCCGCCAGTGCTCCTGGGTGGGAAGAAGATAGAGTGGAAGGATTGTCCTGGAGGGGGACATTGAGACCAGGGTCCTTCCTCCTTTTCTCTGCTTCCTGCCAGCCATAAAGAGAGCAGCTTCCTCTTCTGCAAGCTCCCACCATGCTCTGCTGCCCTGCCACAGGCCCCAAATGGACCAGCAGACTTTGAATTAAAATCTTCTGATCCCAGACAAATCAAATCTCCCCCTCTTTTACACTGATGGTTCCATGGATGCTGCTGTCCACATTTAAGATGGTGTTTCCACTCAGCTCGCCTTGCAGGAGCACCCTCACAAACACACCCAGAGGTGTACTCCCCAGTACAGTGACTCTTAATCCAGTCAAGTTCACCATGAAGACACGCTTCCCAGGCCTCCCAGGCCTCCTTTCTGGGTGGCCTTTGTGGTGACCCCCTCTCCACAAAAGAGGGTGCTGAGGCTCTGCTGGGGTCCTGGTGATATCTTGAAAGATGAACTGAATCCTGAGAGATGGGGATGGGACCAGGATTGGAGACTGGGAAGCAGCTGGGATGTGGTCCCGTTGTGATCACCTTTAATGAAATCTCCAACTCTGCTTCAAACAGGATATGCCTGGAATTCTTCATTCAAGCCACGAATCCCAATTTTCCGGAGTTAGGCCCCAAAGATGAAAGGAACCCCTTAGGCTAGTGATGGCAACAACAGACTTGGCCACAGAGGGCCATGGGACGCACAGCACACTCCCCCATCAGTCCCTTGACAAGCACTCAGCACACACCTGCCATGTGGGACGGTACTGAGGGCACAGCGACGTCAGAGCCTCACCTTCATGGTCTGTGAGGGAGACAGACAGCAGGAAATAAAAGAGCAACAGATAAGTGGCATTTTCCTACACTTACTGAGGTAGCCAGAAGTCAGGAGTTGGTGAGTGTGTGCTGTCCTGGAAAAGATAGCAAGACAGAGCCATAGTGATCTGGGGGCAGTGGGGGGGCATGGGTGGTCCCCTCTTTCCCTCTCTTTCCAAGTCCCTACCTACACAGTGGAAGCAGCACTATGCTGGATCAGGTACAAGGCTCCTCTTGCAGGCTCCCACACACTCACACACACTCACACACTCACTCACACACCCACACACAGAGACACACACTCACACACTCACACACTCACTCACACACACAGGCACACACTCACTCAGACACACACAGAGACACACACTCACACACTCACATTCTCACACACTGACACTCACACTCACACACTCACTCACACACACAGAGACACACACTCACACACTCACACACTGACACTCACACACTGACACACTCACACACACCCACATACAGAGACACACACTCACACACTCACTCACACACACAGAGACACACACTCACACACTCACACACTGACACTCACACACGCTCACACACTCACTCACACACACCCACACACAGAGACACACACTCACACACTCACACTCACACACTCACACACTCACTCACACACACAGAGACACACACTCACACACTCACACACTCACACTCTCACACACTGACACTCACACACACCCACATACAGAGACACACACTCACACACTCACTCACACACACAGAGACACACACTCACACACTCACACACTGACACTCACACACGCTCACACACTCACTCACACACACCCACACACAGAGACACACACTCACACACTCACACTCACACACTCACACACTCACACACTCACTCACACACACAGAGACACACGCTCACACACTCACACACTCACACTCTCACACACTGACACTCACTCACACACACACAGAGACACACACTCACACACACTCACACACTGACACTCACACACACTCACACACTCACACACAGGCACACACTCACTCACTCACACAGGCACACACTCACACACACCACATGATGCCAGGTACCTTTCTGCTTAGCAGGTAACCAGGACCCCATAGCACTGTTCTATTCCATAACCAAGTCCCCAAAGTGCTGACCCAAACACCAAACCATGGCAGACTTGCCTGACCTTGGATCTGAGGTTGGGGTTGCCCTCAGAAGGAGGGGTGTGGGGAGGGCCTTGCCCACCCTCTGCCCCACAGCTGGCCAGTGAGGGCCCTGCAGTGAGCTTACAGTGTGCGTGTCCCAGGGAAGCCCGGGGGTCCTAAGGTGCCCAGGCCTTTGGCAGAGCCAGGCTGCCCCTTTGGGCTCCGTCGTTTCTGAGTGCCTGTCACCCGCGGAGCCGTGCTGCCGGTGACCTGGTTAGTGTGAGAATTAAATGAGATGAAATCTGCAAGGTGCTTAGCCCCTGACAAGCGCCATCCAAGTGTTTTTTAAATAAAAAGGAAAGTGCTTAGTAAAGTGTATTTTAGAATCACTGTCGTCCATGTAATTGTATTTAAAATGTTCCCCTGGAAAGGGCCTGCCCCCTTTAAGAATGACTGAGAAGAAACTGCCTCTGTCAGCACAAAGCCAAAGATGAGGAGACGTAGCTGGAGTGGCCGAGGATTTAATTAGCCCAGCCAGGAAGCCTGAGCAGGTGGCCCTAATTGGGGGGCACCAGTGGTACTGTCCCATCTCACCCCACCCCAGGCCTGGCCCTCCCAGGGCGAGGGAGGAAGTGTGAGGTTGGCAGTCAATGGTCTCAGCCTCGGCCTGTTGGCATCCGCCCGGACACAGCTTAGGGCACAGCTGACCAGGGTCAGACAGCTAAGATGCAGAGAAAAGCCGGGTTGCTGAAAGAAAAGAAGGGCGAGTGACAGCAGGGACAGCTTAAAGTCATCGGGCACCCAGCCAGCACAGAGGCTCACACCTGTCATCCCGCAGCTCAGGAGGCACAGGTGGGGAGGATCATGGGAGCCTGGGGGCGTTGGCTACATAATGAACTCTAGACTAGCTTGGGCTACATGGCAAGATGCTGTCTCAAAAAGTCCAAGAGAATAGAAAGGATGTCCCCATGGGTGAAGGCAAGCTTGATGGTCTACTATCCACCCCCAGGTCCCCACGGTGGGCAGAAAGAACAAACTCCCGAAAGCTAGCCTCTGACCCCCGCATTTGGGCTACTACACGAACACACCCACACCCACACCCACCCGTCACAATCACAAAATACAGAAAAGTGACGTAAGCCTTTCTAAAATGTTAGTTATGGTAGTGCATGTCCAAAACTCCAGCAGACCAACTTGGTCGACAGAGTGAGATTCGGTCTCAAACAAAGCATAACGGGAAGGAAGGAGGGAGGGAAGGAGGGAGGGAGGGGAGGGGGAGGGAGGGAGGGAAGGGAGGGGAGGGGAGGGGAGGGGAGGGGAGGGGGAGCGCAGAGGGAGGGATGGAAGGAGAAGAGAGGACCGGGAGAGTCAGCGTTGCTAGGGTGTCAGTTTTCTCTAGAAGGATCTGTAGCTCTCTGGGACCCGAGGGAAGGGATAGACAGCTGCAAGTTCCAGGTCCATCGGGCTAAGCCGTGAGACCCTGTGCCGAAAAAAACCTAAAGAGGAAGTGAAGTGTCGATGCCACAGCACCGGTGTAGACGGATGGCCCACTCTGACGCGGGGGCTGGATGGGGAAGAGACATGGGGGAGGGGGCAGTGACACCTGATGTAGAAAGGACCTCAGAGTCGAGACAACCACAGAAAGCCCAGCAAGGTGGCTGGGCCAGCGGAGCCCTGGGTTTGACTCCCAGCACCACAGAAACGTGAGTGGAGGTGCAGGCCTGTGACCCCAGACTCGGGAGGTGGGAGCAGGGGAGTCAGGAGTCCTAAATCATTCGTGGCTACACAGAGAGAGTCTGGGGCCAGCCTGGGTACCTAGGACCCTGTCAATAAATAAACGCCTCAACATGTTTTCCATTTCTAGGGTAGTCCTAATGCTTTGACATCTTGTTGTCTAACCCCATAATGCCACAGACCAGAGCCTCTTCTCCCTCAGATCCCGTGACTGACAGTCCCTAGGCCCGTCTGCCAGCTGAAACAAGCGAGTATGCTCACACTGGGGCCAGTGTAGCAAGCTGGACAGAAGGGGGTCTAGAGGCCTGGCTCCTCCCTGGCTCCTCCCTGGCTCCTCCCAGGCTCCTCCCTGGCTCCGCCCTGGCTGCTGGTCCAGGGGTCTCTTATCACCGACTTCAACCTGCCTGCCCACAGAGGGCTGCTAGAGGCCCACGCCGGGAATCTGCAGATACCAGGCAAACTTCCTGCCCCAGGGTTGAGGTGGAGAAGCCACTGACTTGCGTGGAAGGGGTTCCTATGAAGTGAGTCTCCCCAAAGAAGCCAGAGCTGAAGTATGGCTCTCTGCCAATCCGAGTGGGGCCTCCCAGCCTCCCCCAGCCCTACAAGGAGATGTCAGTATTTTGGCTACAGAGCCCAGCTACAAAGATGTTGCCCTAGGCTCTGACCACAAAAGCAGAGCGGGGATTTGAACCGAGGCCCTACGGTCCCTTCTCAAATACAATGGCCAAGTATATGTACCAGCTGAGCATGCGCGAACACCTACCCTTGCACACACCTGCCTAGGGAGCCTTGAGGTTCTTGGTCTCTTGGAAGAGAAGGCATGTGGGCTGTAGATGAGCCAAGTCGCGGGTGTGAATGGGGTTCACTCTGAGGGGGTTTTGGGGTCCTCCCTGGATTGAACGCCTCTCCCCGTCCCCGCAGGGGCTGCAGTGGGCTTGGGCAAGCGTTGCTGTCTCCATGGCTACGTGCAAGGGCGGTGGGAGCCTCTGTGGATTGATCCGGCTCAGTCAGATTCAATCCCGAGCGAAAATGGATTTTTTAATGCGTCTATTAGCTGCTTTGAAAACGCAAATTGAGTTCAAGAGAGACAGACGCCGCCATCAGAAAACAATTTGGCGTCGGAAGACCCAGTGGGCCAGGACACCCAGCACGGGCAACGCCCCTGCAAGCCTGAGCACCGCTTTGTAAGGGAGCAGGGAGGACCACTAGGCCACACTGTCCCGTCCGCCCCCACAGTCCTTGGGGTCAGCGTAGCAGCTGTGGACAGCCGCTACAGAAATGAGCAAACTTCCCACCCAGAAGAAAGCAGGTTCCGGGGACAGGGTTAAAGGGAGCAGTTCTGGAAGGGCTGCCTGAAAGCCTGGGGGAAACGCTCCCCACCCCCAAGCGCTTCTCCCCTCCTTCAGGGCTTGCAGAAGGCGGCGTCTACCACGGTTAGTCTTGTAGCGCACATCACCCTGTGTTTGGGGCACCTGTTGCCCAGGGCCAACAGGACAGGCAAAGGCCGGACTCTCCCGTCCATGTTTCGAGATCCCTTTTTCTGGAGGAGCTGCCTGCGCCAGCTGGCTGACGGCTGCCCGCGCAGAACAAGGATCCTCTCGGCTGCCCGTGGGCCCTGAGGCTGAGGCCCAGACACAGACTTCCTTCCCTCCTTTGTCACTCCGTCAGCAGCCTTCTTTGCATATGCAAATGAGTTCATCCTCCTGCAATTACACAGTAATCAGGAGCAAATTACCTTCTTGCTGTTTACTTTCAGCGTCCTTAATTAATCCGGTTATTAGACGATTAATGGAGCTTGTTTGGTGAGAAACTCATAGCAAGAATGGAGAAGGGGGTGGTATGAATGAGGGGAATGTACCTGTGTGTGCGCATGTGCATGCGTGCGTGCGTGCGTGTGTGTGTGCGTGCGTGCGTGTGTGTGAGCGTGTGTGTATGTGCGTGCGTGTGCGTGTGTGTATGTGCGTGTGTGTGCGCCCATGTGTGTGTGCGTGTGTGTGCATGCGTGCATGTGCACGTGTGTGTGCACGTGTGCACATGTGTGTGTTTGTGCGTGCGCGCGTGCGTGTGCCCATGCGAGCCTTGGGGATAGACTCTGAAGGATTGCCCTGGGTTTTCTGTCCCCTGCTCCCTTCCCAGTCTCCCTCCTATCCCGTCCTCCACGCTCCTCCATTACCCCACTCCCCACCCCTCTCCTGGAAGCCTTTGAGGCTCAGGCAGGCAGCCCCACCCTCCAGCCCCTGGACAGCAGAGGCTCCAAGAGACCTAAGGTCCTGGAGAAAGGACTCAGGCTTTCGCCAGCCCCCAGAGCCCACACCAGTGCCGAGTGCTGTGCGGCTCAGATGACTGCCTCTGCACCGCGTGGCTGTGCCTCGTGTGCGCTGATTGGGAACTAGTAGCCAAGGGTGAACTTAAGCATCTCATCCTCCCGGCAGGCCTGCCATGAGCCTCGGCTGTCTCTTTTAAGCTAGCCTTCTCGGGGGCAGTGGGATGGCCCAGTGAGTGGAGGTGCTTGCAGCTAAACCTAGCAACCTGAATTCAATCCCTGGACCCACACAGTAAAGGAAGAGAATCACTCAACTCTGCTGGTTGCTCTTGACTCTACACGCTCATGCATGTGCGCGAGCACACGCATACACACGGATAAGATTGTTGAAAACAGAGAGCGTCTTCCTGTGTTTCTGAAGCTCACAGGGATGGCTTTGGCGCTGGGTTTCTTTATTTGCTCTTAGGATCCCTCCACCTCCTTCTCGGTGTGCCTTTTGTTTAAACACTTCTGGAACATTCCTCATCAATATAGATTAAATCTTACCTTGTCGCGTCTGCCGCGCAGCCTGTGTCCGAGAACGTGCGGAGGGTGTCGGGGAGTGACAACACAGAGACTCATTCAACGATGTAAAGAAAACTTTAAGCAGGCCCCAAAAAGGTTCAAGAAAACTTCCTAAGAAAGGCTCCCTCCAGAGAAGCTTCTGCTCTCTCCTCTACCCTGGCTGGTTCTGCTCTGACACCAGAGGGGGATGTGTGTGGGTTTGAAGGTGCGGTTAGTCTTTGGACAAGGTCGAGGTCAGGGTGGTTTCCGTGGGAAGGCCTTTTCCAGGAACTTATTGCCCCGGGCATTGTATCGTTTTTAGTAAACATGTTTTTACTAAACATTGTCTTACAGCTGCCTACTCCCAGGCAGAAGGGGAAGTGGGTCTCTGCTCAAGGTCTGGTATTCCCACAATTCACCCATTTTTATTTTCAAATGAGGCACTCCTGGCTTAGGTCAAGTAGGGTCACCCTCCCTTTCCCGTCTTTGGGGGACCTTGAACTCCTGTCTTAGGTGGGAGGGGTCTTCCCCACAGGTTGCCCGTCGTCGGAGACACCCCAACCTTAAATCATCTGTAACCAACCTTCATGGCTATCGGGATTGCCATGGGCTAAGCTAAGCAATACTTGGTTACGGATCTCTTGCTTCTGGAACAAGGCACGTTTGAGCTCGGCATAAAGCCAGAATGCCTACTGCCACTGCCACCATTTCCAGGACCCCCATTGACATAGCGCTTCTCCATCACCATACCCATCATCAGATCTGGGCCATAACATTCTACCAGCCTTCATCTGTTACAAGGGTAACATGCACGTGATTTACATTCTGTTACAAGGATAACCTGCATGTGATTTACATTTACAATTTGATAAAGTTTACAATCGTTTCAAGATCTGCTCAGGAAAGCATTTAGAAAGTGTACTTGCACAGATACATTGGGCACAATCATTGATGTTACACATGTAGCATTATGAAAAATATGAACAGAGACCCCATGGGGCTGGGGCCCAACAGGACAGGTTACTTGGGAAAAGAATTTCTGCTTTTGTTTCCACAGAACATAAAAAACTGTGGGTTCCTTCCAGACTAGTATGGTTTGATGAAGCAAGACCACCTGAAGCAGTGGCCCAGGTGATCCAACATTTAAACAGCTGAGATGATGCAGCCTTACAGACTACAAAAACAAGAACTTTAACAGGTTTCTGGGCTTTAATTTTTTTTTGTCATCATCCCCATGGTATTTCAGCGCCCCTTAACAGCAGGAAGTAGCTTGGAAAGAATGACGCCCACATTCCCAAATATTGTTTATAAATGTTTGTTTTTGTATACTGAGACTGACATTAACATCCTAGTCACCTGAGATAGGTGCTAATTTATATATAAAGAAGGGGGGAGATGTTGGGCCCCAGCCCCATGGGGTCTCTGTGAGTTGCTGGTCAGCCTACAAGTGCAACTTGTTTTCCAGTCCAAGTGCTTTCTGTTTTCTAGTCCTGGCTTCCTGCCCTGGCCTTGACCCTCTGACATCAACATCCAGCAGGAGGAAAACAACGATCTCTTCTACCTGGGGTTTTTTCCACTGTGCTGTAAACTTGTATAAAAAGCTCCTCCCTCCTACAAGGGAGAGACCTCTTAGAACTTGCAATGAAGACACACACACTCTCTCTCCTGGCAATAAAGGCAGCACATGCATTCTCTTAGTACAAACAAATGGACGTCTTGTCTCTCTTTTCCTGATACCTTGGAGTGGCTTGTAGTGCGGGCGCAGCATTACCTCTCCTGATCCCCCCCCATGTCTAACTCCTCATTCTCTGTCTCATGCCTCCCTCTTCTTTCCGTCTCCTGTGCTCTTGGGGTGACATGTTATTTATGATTTATTAAAACTTGCCTGAGGATTCAGAAAGCAAAGTCAGCCACAGGCCGTAGAAGCCAGGCACACGCCTTTAATCCTAGGACTCAGGATTAAGAGGTAACCAATCTCTGTGAGTCCAAGGCCACCAGATGTACACAAGAGTAATCCAGTCCTCAAGAGAAACAGCTCACACAAAGATGAACTCAGCACCTGGGATCACACGCCCTTAATCCCAGCAAGGGCTCTGTATGGAGCATTCATTCTCCAACCACCTAGAGGAGAGGAAGACATTCAGTCTCAGGATTCCCAGCCACGCTGAGGCAAGGCAGCAGGATCAGCCCTTTCAGCCGAGGAAGTGTAAGAGTTAGTGGCCTGCTACTTTGCTTTTCTGTTCTGCAGCTTGACGTTTGAACACCAATTTCGTCACTGGGTCCTTTTATTTGTCGTGTTGCAGGCTCGATTATGGCTAATGGCTTCTTCTGGACTGCTGGCCAGTTCACCAGCTATCTCTTCAACTCCACCTAATACGCTGTCTAACCCTTCGATCGGGTTTTCAGTTTCAACGTCATTTTCATTTCTGAGTGTCTTGGTTCCTTTTCATATTTGCCTAAAGAGGTGATTTGCATCTATCGGCCTGGGGTCACCCAGGAGACCCATCTCCGTTTATTGTGAAAGCATTTACAGAGAGTTTAGCTGAAAGGATTGACCCTGGATGGGGGGTGGCACCCCATGGACCAGGGTCCTAGACTGAACAGAGAGACGAAAACCAGGTGAGCAACAGTGTTCCTCTGTCTCTGCTGCCTGACTGGGGGTGCAGTGCGACCTCACACTCCCTCCACGATCCTCCACCCTGAACTGTGAGCCAGAAAAAAAACTCTGTAAATGTGGTGCCTGGGCCTCGAGCAAGTCCAATGTATCAGGAGACAGCCTGGAGATTTAAATGAAAGACAAGATGTCTGGCCGTTTGTCTGTGTGTGGGGGGGGGGGGGGAGTTTATTGCAAGCAGGGAGCAGCCTTATATACAGACTTACAGCACAGTGGAGAAACCCCAGGTGTAAGAGTTCGTGTTTTCATCATTAGAGGTTGAAGCCAGTGGGGCAAGGCCCGGGCTGTGAGCCAGGACTAGAAAACAGGATGCACCTGTGGTTATTGGCTGACAGGCAACTCACATAGACCCCGTGGGGGCTGGGGCCCAACAGAAAATGGAGGTTTATCTGTCCCAACCTGTCCCCTAGCCACTTCCAGATAATCACTCAGAGGCTTATATTATTAATGTTAGACCAATAGCTCAGGCTTATTACTAGCTAACTCTCGCATTTACATTGACCCATATTTCTATCTGTGTTTTGCCATGCATCTCATGGCTTTACCTATGCTCTAACACATCGTGTTCCTCTGGCAGCTGGCTGGCACCATCCTCAACTCCACCCCTCCCTCATCTGAGTCTTCAGTTTGATTGTTCCTCCTAACCTTAACCTTGCCATAGGCCAAACAGCTTTTTATTAATAACCAATGGGAGCAATGCATATTCATGGCATACAGAAAGATCATCCCACAGCAACTCTCCCTTCCACAGATGGCTTTGGTCAGTGCAGTAGTTTGAATGAGAATAGTCCCCATAGGCTCATATGTATGAGTGCTTGGTCCCTGGTTGGCGGAACTGTTTGAGAAGGATTAGGAGGTGTGGCCTTGTTGGAAAAAGTGAGGGTGGCCTTGAGGTTTCAAAACCCCACACCAGACCCAGTCAAAGTCTCTCTCTCTCTCTCTCTCTCTCTCTCTCTCTCTCTCTCTCTCTCTCCCTCCCTTTCTCTCCCTGCTGCCTGGGGATCAGGTTGTGTCTTAGGGTTTCTATTCTGTGAAGAGACACCACGATCACAGAAACTCTTATAAAGGAAGACGTTTAATTGGGGTGGCAGCTTTCAGTTCAGAGGTTCAATCCGCTATCATGATGGCAGGAAGCCGGCAGATGTGGTGCTGGGGAAGGAGCTGAGAGTTCTACCTCTTGGCCCGCAGGTAACAGGAAGTGATCCGAGACAATGGGCATGGCT